GAGGAATAGAAGGAAGAGATTCAGCAGGTAAAAAAGGTGATTTTAGGGTTCATAGAAGTGGGCATCTTTTAACTGTATATGTATAATCAAAGTAAAAGTCACGAGTTAGTCTTTTTGGAGAATATAATTCAAGGTATAGATGCTTTTTATCCTTTTTGTATAACTTGAAGTTATTTTATACATTTACACATTCTAAAGACTTGTAGATTAAACAAGTGATAATTAATAAATTTACAATGTCTCTTTCACTTTGAGGCAAACTGGTCAAGCATAACATCCTCCAGGGTTTTTACATGGCACAAAATTTAAAATGGAATTTATGGTATTGTGTAAAAAAAGTCGAAAATTAGCAACTTTTGGCCATTTTGGAGCAAGTGATGTAATCTAGGAATCCTCCTGTTGGTTGTGTGTTTCTTCCACTGTTTGGTTTGCTCACAGAATGCAAGGATAGTTAAAAAAATTATAAGTCAGGTGTCTCAATATATTGTTCTAAGATTATATGGCTATTACTATCTATTTTGTTTTCCTTTTTTCTTTTGTTTCTTTTTTTTGTTGGGTAGATCTGAAGACAATATTTTAATGTAAAAGCTAACCTTTCATTATATTTTCATGTACCCTCAATGTATTTCTGGAACGTCGACTTTGCAGCTAGAGGTATGAATGAACACTTCTAAAAACATTAGTTGCCCTTCTCTAGTTGATAATATCATTTGTAAGTTTGTGATATATATGCCAATAGGGTGACACCAAGGGATCTATTAGGGGTACTGATGCATCTGCTAAGAAAGACGCTACTGGTGGATCTCAACTGCATACAGATGCACAGGTGCACTTTTCAATTTGCTTTGGTTTTCCTATCTTCAGTTCTGAAGATCCTTGATTTTATTAATCTGCTTGAGTCACAAAGCATTTACTTATTAGTTATTCTTTTCACCCTCGGGATGACGTTGGCAGTTTGTGAATCAAGGCTCTTTTTCCCGGGACTTCGGCTATTCAAATCCCCAGATCGAATATTGAGTGAGATTTCTCTCCTTGACCTTTATAGATTCTTGGATATTAGTTAAAAGAGCTTCTAATATTTTGAAGTGTGAAAAAATGACCTCTTCATGATTTAACCATTTGAAAATGTTAGCTTCTGTTAGGCCTCGTGCTGTCGTGAGAGCCCGACTACCTCTGTTCTTTCACTTGAGTATACTTTATGTTTTGTTGTTGGTGTTTTTACAGTGGACTTGATTTTTAGATGTTCAACTATGTCGTAATATATATATTGGATATTGGATGCTTTCTTGAAATGTGTAAAAAATGTAACAAACAATTTCTATGTGTGGTTTACTGATCGTGGTGTATTATCAACACTTATATCCACATGTGTTGCATACCTTATATTACATGCTGATATTTCAAATTTGTCTTTTCAGCACAAGGAAGGTTAATGCTTATCATCCGTTTGGTTTCTCTCGAACTTTGCAGGATATTTGTGAAGCTTAAAGCTAGAATGAGGCTTGTCTCTGCAGAATTTGTCTTTGTCATAAAATGGTGGTGTGGTGTAACTTGGTTTATTTATAATACCCTTCTAACTTGAAAAGAATAGTGTGATTTTCATAAGTTATATGTCATGTATATGCTAATTTCTACAAGTTCTGCTCATCCATTCTTATTGAGCATCCAGCTTTAAATGTAAGAGTGGTTTGAGACAACAGCTACGATAATTCTCTCCAGCACCAGCAGTGATTGAACATGCTAATAATATTTTTATAGCTAAATCTTTTTTACCCTGGTCTTACATTTTATGGCTACTAGGTCTGAGCATGAGACTCGGATAATTGTGAACCGTTCCAAAAATCAAATCGAAATCACTCCGAACTGAAAAATAACTGTTGACCGTTTGACTTTCTCTTAATCGAACCAAACCGAAAAAATAATAGGTACGGTTTGGAGATTTCACAAATATCCGTACCGAGAATCGAACCGAACCGTCTCAACCAAAATTAAGAATTGAATTATAAAAATAGATTGATACTATATAAATTAAGAATTTGTAAAATGCAAATGAAATATAGTAATAACAATTAAACTCCACTTAATTTCATGTTTAATTATACTTGATCTACAATTGAATTTTTTCTGTTTTAAAAAGAAAAATATTTAAATTTGAATGAAATGTTAAACAATTTTTTTTTTTTTTTTAAAAAAAACATCAAACTTTACATAAATTTGTGGAATACTTAGTCTTATTCTATCTTATAACTAACATGGTATGAAAGGTTAAAAAAATATTATTTTATTAAAGAACTTTATTATATTTTGTTTGAATTTTAAATTTTCAATGTTAGTTGCACAAATATAGAGCTAACTAAAATTTGTTTAAAAATAAAATCTTTAGTATGTTGAATGTTGGATTTAAATATATATATATATATATATATATATATATATTAAAATAATATAACTAGGCGATCATTAAAAAAAATAAAAAATACTTAAAATTCTCCGATATTCGAATCGAATCGAACCCTTCTGATAGTCCCGAATACCGAACGAAACCTTTCGATAGCCCCGAATACCAAACCGTACCGAATCGAAAATCAAAAATCTCCGAACGGGACCATACCGATTTTTTTGTACGGTTCAAGAGATTGAATTTTAGTAATCTCCACATATCGATACAGTTCCGAAAATTTGTCAATTTTCGAACCGTACCGACCCATACTCACCCTAATGGCTACTAAGAACAAGTGGCATGCCCTTGGCGATATATTTTATTAGTTAATGTGCTTAATGATATTATTATTATTATTATTATTATTATTATTGGTGGTGGTGTTGTTATAACCCATATAGCCCAAGGTCCCTTAGAGTTATGGTTAGGCTTATGTTCCTTTATTGCTAGTCCGAGTTTTTTAGGCCCGGACTGTTTAGCCCGAAGCTCGGTAGGGCTAGTCGAAAACCGCTAGGGATAGTCCGTTTGACATTTCTACCTACAAATTAATTAGTTTGTTTGTAAAATGCTTGTTGGTAAACTTACAACTAGACTGTAAACGAACCGAACGTTCCCCAACAAAAGCTCGTTCGCTTATCAATCGAGCCTACTTCAAAAAAAAAAAAAAAATAGTCTCGCTTAATGATTGAACGAACACGAGCTCGTTCGTGAATGTTCAATTATGTCTGCGAATATTAATTTAATATAATTTTATTTTATTTTTTTATATACTTATATAATATTTTTAATAAAAAATCTAAAATTTAATATAATTTTATTTATTTATTTTTAAATAATTTCATTATATTTTTAATAAAAAATCTATAATATAATATTTTATTTTATTCTTTTTTTTTTTCGAGTTCTAACGAATAAATTTTGAGTTAATCAAACATATTTAAAAAGTTTATGCATTAAATTATTCGAACACGAACTTTAACGAACAATTAAACGAACGAACTCGCACACAGTTTTTTGCTCGGAAAATAAACGAATGAACACGAACATTGTTCGAACGTAAATGAACACGAGTTCGAACAGCCCACGAGTTCGAACAGCCCAAACTCGATTCGATTCGTTTTCAGCACTGCTTACAACCTTCATCATGTGTAGTCAAATGCCTATAAATTGTCCATAAATTCTCCATAAATTCTCTATAAAAAGTGGTTTGATAGACCGAGAAAATATCAACACATCTATTT